TATATATATAAATACATATAAATACATACTGTTAAATGCTGTAACGTTAATTGCAAATGTAGGAACAGGGTGGCCACCCACCTGGAAAACCTGGAATTATCAGGGAATTTTTTTTATACTGGAAGAAACCTGGAAAAATCGGGGAATTTTTAAGAAAAGATGGAATTTTTTTCTTAATATAAATTATATTACCATCCAATATGTCCACTAAATTCAGATGGAATTTTATAGTCAAACAGCTGAAATATCATCAACTTAGCAATACTTCATTAAAATTCTATCCATTATTACCTCGCTAAAATAAAATGTCATATGAAACTCCCATGTTGCTAAATGTATGGAAAAATCTTTGACCTCTTTAGAGATTATGGGAATAAGCAGTTTTGGAAAGTCAAAAATTGTGGGGGAGGTGGAAGAAGGGGTTAGTATACTTGCTCATAAAAAGAGGGTTTTTCTGTTTTTTATCTTCTAGTCTGTGGGCTAAATTTAAATTCATTTACTGTTCAAGTTTGTTTCGATGCTTTGGGGGTATTTTTTTCCTTTTAACAAAATGTTTCAGTATTTTTAACTTTAAAGAATTCTCCAAAAAATAATTGACTATAATTTAATAATAGATTTTGTCATTCCATCCAATAAATTATTTTTTCTCTGCAAAGCCAACCAATCACTCATTTTCTTGAATTGCTAACAGCAAAATCGTTACAATTTTTGCATTGATACTAATTTTTTGCATTTTATTTTAACCAAATATATAATTTTTTAAAAAAAAGATTCTTTTATGAATATTTGAATTCTAATTTAAAATTTAAATTGTGTATTAATCACAATGTCATAGGTTAGTAAATGTTTTGCTTACATTCCAGAGATGATATTTCTAAAACTGTCTCTCCTTTTACCATAAAATGCTGGCAAACACCAAGGAATGCATGGAAAACATGTTAAATGATGTATAAACTTAGAATATATATATAAAAAAATTTTTTATGTTTGTTCATTAGAAAGAAGGAAAAGGAAACTTTGTTAGGATGACCAAAATTTTAAACTTAATAATAAGTAAACAAGGGATCATGGGTGAAAAACTCAAAATTTCAAAATAATGACGTGTAAATATCTGTTTTCAATTAGTTATAGGCTGTTAAATGTAAGGTTACATCATTTGAAATTTTTAACCATGATAAGTGAATCTCTTACAAAGTACAGTTTTTTTTAAAAAATTTATACTAATAATAGAAAGTGGAAAAAATAATAATCAAAGTAAACTGTAACAAAACAGGTTATCTCTCACAAATGTGTAGAAACATTTCACATTTTGATTTAAAGAAAACTCTCTAGATGCACTTTTGATATTTTATGTGCGGCACCAAAATACATAATAAATTGTACTGTGTCACTAGGATTTAACATAATGAATTTATTTTTTCTGATTGAAGATTTTGATAATAAATATTTTTATTGTAAATTAATAATTAATTATATTTGTGTCGGACACCACTGCTTTTCTTTTTGTTGTATCTGTTTTTATTTATTTCCATTTCTTTTTTCGCTTTTTCTTTATAAAATTAAGTGAAATATGAAAAGAACCCATCTAAATTTTCCTTCAGGTTAATTTACAATAACATATTTCTCCTCAGTAACCTACTAAAATTTGTTTAACTATGCTGTACTTGAAGTTATTTATATTATAACTTAAAATTGATCAATGGAGTATTTTTTTATTTATTTATTTGAGCTAAGCAACTCAGTTTTAAATTTTTGAAAAACAATTTAACTTCATTTAGGACATTTTAAATCAATCATTTTGCTTAGAGCTTGAATAATGTATGTACTTGGAGAAAAATTTTTTTTGAACATTCTATATTTTTTTATTTTTTGTTTATTTTTTTGTTTAGTTATTTTTTGTTTAGTTATTTTTTGTTTATTTATTTTATTTTATTTATTTATTTTTTTAATTTTATTTTTTGAGTAAAGGACAAAATACTTTATTGAAAAATAATAAACCTACTTGCATAGCAAACTACAACAATAACACACATCCTATTCAGTTTTTAGGTAAATGGGATAAAAATTGTCAGCATTTATTGCGCCTGTAATTGACAAGTGAAACTGGAGAAGGGGTATTAAAAAGAGATTAAAATTTGTTCCAGAATTAATATAAATTTTTTTCTTCATAAATTTGGCGCATCTCTTGTGCTGCAACTGGGGACATATCGCTCATTTGGTGAAACAATGACGTAACTGAATATTACTTTAACTATCAGTTACATCATTGTTTCACCAAATGAGCGATATGCTCATGTTTACCGCTAGCTATGCCACTAAATACAAGTAAAAGTTATATTGGTTAATATTGTATGCTTTGAAACTTGAAATAGAAAAGATTGCAAGAGCTGTACAAAATGATTTTAATTTTATGCTGGCAATAAATACAGCTATTAAATTATCAATTTTCCTAAGCAATCTTTTTTTTTCCCAGAAAAAATTGTTATAGGCTAATAATACAGTAAAAAAAAAATTTTTTTTTTTCCTCCTAATGTACAGTGATATTTTTTTCAATGGATTTTTATATTGTTCCATCATTTCTCATTCCAACAGGAAATATTAAACAATTTAAATTTAAAGGAGCTATTTAATTGAAAAATAATGTTTATAGTATTAAGATTAAAATATAAATAGTTTTCAGTCATTATTATTATCATTAACTAAAATTTATATCCATCTTGAAAAATTTATGTTTGACACTGAAGTTAAAAATTTCAAATTAATCATATATCATATTTTACAGGTAAAGAACTGCATAGAATTTTTTTATTCAAGTTTTAGCTTCAAAATTCAGCCATGTTTACATTTAAATTACAAATTCACAGAGTTCAGACAATTATCAATCAATTAAATGAGTAATCGTTTTTTGCTTTCATGTGATTTGCATCCGACTCCCACAATTTAATCCATTTAATTTGAACTTATTATAATCAGTTTTTATAAAATGAATTGTTTTTCGATTGGTTATGATGTAATAATATTTAATATAAAAATTTGATGATTATAACTTATGTTTTATAAGACAGTTTTTCTAAGAAACTCATATTAATTTTTTATGTCTGACACCATGGAATTGCCCAGTTGTAAGAACAAAAGCAATTAAATAATCTAAACAAGGAAACCATGTGATTAGATGTGAATTCTTTAAGAATTATAATTTCTAATAAGAAGAAAAATGTAAAGAATTTTTTCTAGTGTTTTTCTATAGAATATGCAACAAGAAATTTGACAATTTCGCCTTTGCGAAAACTGAATACCTATACTTAATGAGAAAAAATAACACGCTGACCTGGAAATTTTAAGATTTTTTCTGGAAAACCTGAAAAAATCAGGGAGATTTGAAATTTGATTTGAGTGGCCACCTTGAGGAAATTCATTCAAAAACATAGGAAAATTTTCAAATGACTATTTTCAAATGACTACAGTATACCCTGAAGGAAAAGCTCTAAGGCATTTTGTAGCATCTAAATTAAACTTTGATGCTATTGATTAAGCTGAAATATTTTTCTGAAAAATTTTCCTGCTATATCCTCCAGTACTACTTAAAATTTATGAGGATGACATAGATATTATATTTTTTTGAATTCAAAAAGTGTATACATCAAAAAGTTTCTTAAGTATGAGAGATGTTTCTTTGGTTATGAAAGCCTCAAAAGTGAAACAGCTTTTATTTTATAAACACCCTTGAACATGAATGAATCTTTGTCTTTATCCACCGTAACTGTACTAATTGCTAGGAAATATGATAAACTATTATTTGTTGAATTATTCTGTAACATTGTAGTAATAGATAATTGAAGTACAAACATTTTATTTTTTCTTCTATCTTCCATTCCTATGAATATTTGCTGTTAGTTTCGATAGACAATTCGAATCTCTCCTAAAAACAGCATTAAGGGAAATATTAAAATAAGTTTCAGTAATTTTCGCTGGAGAAAATACTCTTGAATGCCAAGTTACGGGACTTTAAAAAGCTGGTCTAATTATTATTTTCAGTTTATTTTGTGGCGACTGATCAGCCATGTTGATATAAAACAATGAACTTAGAAAAATTGTGATGTTTCCATTTTTAAACACATCATATGACTTGTATGCAATAAAGTAATACAACTTATTTGACATTCTTGAATCATGAAATAGGCATTAGAAAACTTCAACTTGTAGATAGTATAATTTTAACTAACATTATAATGCGTAAGATTTAATTTTGTAGTTTTGGTAAATATTGAGTACAATGCATGACCTGAAGATATCAGCTGATTTTAAAATTTTTTATATCAATTATCTTTTTACAATAAAACATCTTTTCCGCATTATGGCATTCTGAAAGTAAAAGTTAAAATTTTTTTGGCCCATATTAATATGTTTTACAACACACAGATTAAGATTTCAAATTTTGTAAACAAACTCAGGTTTTTTGATATGTGTATGTCTGTTCATCTTAAGTTATGATGTGCTGACTGCAAATTATATTAGCTGATATTTGATCCCAATACTTGAAAAAATATTAACTATTTTGTAAGCATTTTTTTTAAAAACTAACTTAACATTTGTGTCAATATCTGATACGTTTTGATATGTGGTTTTACTATGTTCCTTTTGTGTTTTCAATGTCAATTTCTTTTTTTAGGTGATACCCTTGACTATTCCTAATGTAGATGGATTCAGTGATAGTACTGATTCTTTAACCACTCCCAGAGATAATAAATCAACTAAAGAAAATTCTAAAGATAATAAAAATGAGTCTAGTTCTATGAAAAATGTTCCCATAATAAGGAAATCTGGAATATGCAGATTGTTAGCAGAACTAGTTCGTTCTTATGTACAATGTGCCAGATTGATTACTGATTATTCTTTTCATGCGAATGATTCTGAACTAATAACTGAGGTATTAATATTGTTCATTATCTTTTTTTATAGTTTTCTTTTGCCAATATAATTTATGTAATTTGCATCTCATTTTCCTATCTTCAATAAGGTTCGTTTTACGTGGTGTATATTTAATCACAGTATTTTTTTAAATTCTTTCTTATATTATAGAATGAAAAGTCAAGTTAAGCTATTCATTTTAGAGAAAATAAAAACGAAGATATTTGAATTAGACCTTTGATTATAAAGTAGGAAAAGATTTGGGCAGCAAATTGTAATTTTAAAAAAGCTCATTCCAAAATATTATTTAACTATTGATTTTCGATACAGTAAAAGCTGAAATGTTCAAAGTTCGACTAACCAACAAACTCAAATTTTATGAAGTTAATGAAATAATTTTTAACAAAGAGACTGATTGTTCATATTTTAGTGCAAATTTTTAAAAGTCACAATCACATCAAGTGTAGTACAGTACAGAACCCGTTATCCAGAAATCAGAAGACCAGAAAATCAAAAAACCGGAACAAAATTCGAAAAATTTTCTCGCCATTTTTTAAAAAAAAATTTTTTTTCCTCACAAGATTTTACGATTTTTCTTTCTTTTTTTAAAAATGTTTACCTTACCGTCATTTTGGAAATAATCATTAGTGTATCATTAGTGTTGTGCTTAAAAACGCTGATTGTTGAATTGTATTGGTAGAGTTTCATCAGAAAAATCTTAAAATATTACAGTGCTGGGAAAAAATATAGTCACTGAAGAAAGTGATAAAACATAAAAAGAAAGGACTTATATGGTTTTATTTTATAATATAGCCATATATTGATGTAATAGAATAAAAGCAAAATGAAATTAATAGTAAAATACATTACACATTACTTTATGTGTCATAATAAGATTTCAACACAAATGAAGTTGGGAAAAAATATAAAGTCAATACAATTAATACATAAATAACCAATGTGAGATCCTTTCTTTTTGATTACATTTATCAATCTTTCAATTTATCAATCAAATAGAGTTTGTAAATTGTTTTTTTTTTTTTTTTTTTTTTTTTTTTTTTTTTTTAAAGTGTATATCTCTAATTTATATTATAAAATTTCTTTTTTACTTGAAGTGTTAAAGAAGTTTGTTATTGTGTAAGCATGTGTATTAAAAGTTTTGTTTAAATTTGTGTTGTTGATTTTATACCATTTAATATGTTACTAGAAAATTAAGAAACTGGGAAAAGTGATTCTGAGAATTTTATCAAATTCTGGAAAAATCTAAAATAGCTAGGAAATTTCGTCCAAAGCTTTGTTGTACCCTGTGTTTGAAATGTTTAAGTAGAATTTAACTGTGCCTTTTGCATGGTTTGTAGAGTGGTTTTTAAGAGCATATAAAATGATTTCTTTGCCAGAATAATATTGAGAATTACATATAACAGTTAACTAATTAACTTACAAATGCTGCTAATATAATTAGCACTATTTTGTTAACTGAACAATTGCAAAATAGCAATGTAAATTTTATCTAGTTTTTTAAAAAAAAAGGAACAAATTCTGACCTGATCTTTCTGATTTCCAACTTACAAATCCCTGTTTACTGTGGACAGGTACAGGATTAAGTTCTTTAGTTTATTATTATTTTATTTTTTTAGTGATTATTTATTGTTCTATTTATTTAGGTATTGCAATATTTTAACTCTTTCATGTCGATAAAATTTAAGAAATTTTGGACAAAATAAAAAATTAAATCTATTGCTCAAAATCAAAGACATTCATACTTAAACTGTTTTTAAATAATGGCAGTTGGAAAAAAAATGGGTTTACGGTTTACTTAATGAGTTCTAATTCTTTAGTTGGATTTTCAAGGTTTTTAATGCTTATAGTATCTAATTGTAAGTATTGGTAACAATTTCTGAATGAAAATTGGAAATGAAAAATATAAAGCTACTTTTTGAGTAATTTTGTAATTTACTTATTTGTCATTAATGGATAAATTTGTAGTCTGCAAAATGAACAGGTTTCCACAAGAACTTCTTTAATGCCTAAGTTTATTTTTTCTTCTTAAATATGTAGCCACAAGAAACATGTTTAAAATTGGAATTTAAAGTAGAAAATGTGTATTATGATTTTTGTTTGTTTGTCAATAGTGCTTTTTTTTCTACTGCAATACTTTCTTTCTGATATGTGCATTTGGAAATATTAATTGTCATTTTTTCTATTTTCAGGACTGTTCTGCTTTGGCTTTTATTCTTGATAATCTTTTACACAGCAATCAGACAGCTGGTGATAAAGAAACACCTGCTTTAGCAAGAGTATTAATTGCTGCAATTGCCTCATGCAATCATTCTGTTGAAGCTCAAACTACCCTTGTCAATGAGGTACACTTTGTCTTGTTTAAGTTTCTCTTATTAAAAAAAATTATGCATGTTATAACAATTTTAAATCTAATAAAATATATTTAGCCTTATGTAAACCTGTCAGATTTTCTGTTATGCTATGAGATTTTCCTATGCAAAGGTTAACTTAACTATTTAATTCTTTGTTTAATAAATTAAATTTTAATGAATTACATCGAGCTAGAATTTGCTATCTGTGCTTTTGTAGTGCAATATTTATTTGCAATATAATTCAGAAGGATTAAATCACGAGAATTAAAACTAGAACAGCATAGCTTTCAATGCACAGCAAATATTAAGAAACTGGAAAATCAAGACTTCCTGTTTGAACTCAAAACAAAAGTAACTTTAAATTTTTTTTTTTAAAGAAAAAAAAAGAAGCTGTAATTCTCAACTCAGAGAAATGAGTTCAGATGAAATGAAGAATTCTTACATAATGGAATAGCTATTGATTTTGTTATAAAACTGTTGAGCAAAATGTAGTTCATCTATTTTAGGCCAAGCATATTAATTTTATTAAATGTGCTTTCATTGAAATATACTTACATTACATTCATTAAGACACAAAAAAAATTTGTGCATGAAAAATTAGTTTATTTAAGAAATAAAATGGTGTGTATAGGCACCATTCTCCAAATTAATGAACAAACCATTTAGTTGAAAGCTTGGTATTTTTATGAAATTCGTTTTTTTTATTTTTATTACTGGCGTGGAATAATAAATCCATAATAAAAATATATGCTAAATCTCAAAAGGAATATATTTTCTAAAAATTTCATTTGTCAGTAACCATTTATTTATTTAAAAACTTTAATAGTTAAAAAATTTCTCAACAGAAAGGGTTCACTCCAATTGCATTACTATTAATTTTTGAGTGTCTTTAAAACCCATGATAATAGTAGAAAAATGAAATCAGTGAAAAATATACGTCACAATGTTAGTAAAAAAATATTTATTCAAATGGTGCATTTAAGCACCTTTGGCCGAAAATGGTTTAATGTTCCTTTTAACTTATCGTGAATGTATCTCCCGTTGCTCTTAAATTATCAGTAACTATATAAAAGAAATTATTTTTTCTTCTTAAAATAACAAATGCATTGATATGGCAAATTATTTAATAATATGGAACACATTTTTTTTTAGAAACATTTCTGATTTTGTCAGACAATTTTGTTGAAGTGTGGATGTGGAGAAAATGAAAAAACATTTGAATGTTTGACAGATATTTGTCTTGGTACACTTTAAGAAGGATTGAATGTTTACTTAAAAGTATTAAAATCAGGCTATTTCTATAGAATCAGTTAAATAATGAGAAGTTCAAATAGATCAATGCTTATTTTTAAGTGTCCGTGAATGTGATAAGAAGTTGTTTAGCGGATTATGCTGAAATATAGATACTTTGTTTTTAATAGACTTTTTGCAATGTTTAACATAAATAACTTAATATTTCTTTTCTTATTATAAGTCCTATTTAGGGCAGATTTTGCTGAAATTATTGTATTGTTCTTCTCAATGTTTTGAACATATTGTTTCATTTCCTAGTTTATTCTAAAATCCCTGCATTTTCATGCTTTCCATAGTATTTACAATAGCTTTATATATCCTATGTATGCGTGCCTGAAGCTGTCAATTTTTTTTCTGCCATTTAGTATCTGAATCACTTTTGATATAAATCAGTTCCATTACATATGTATTGTAGATAACATTTTACTAGTATATATTTGATTCTTATATGAAAGGTTGCTCTTTTGTAGGTCCGATTAGCATTGTTGCGTGCTTTATCTTTGCCTGAAAGTCCAGAAAAGCATGCACGTGTTCAAGCACTTACAGCTCTGATAAGTACAATGATAGAATCTTGTCCAGCAGCATCTTCCCAAAGTCAGCTTAGTGGATGTGCATTGCGGTCTCAGACTCCAGCGTAAGTTGTGAAAGGATCTTTAATTTTATCATTATTTATTTTATAACAAACAAAAACTTCTCATCATTATTTGGACAGAAGTGGAGATTCAGTCTTTTTGCTCTTTAATTATTTTTTGTATAATTTATTTTTAGATAATCAGTTTGTTTGATTTCGCCTAACCAAATAATAAAAAATTGCATAAGGTATTTGAAAAAAATTACTTAAAAGAATTCCGGAAATGCTTGTTTTTAAATGTTCTTTCAAGTTTACAATTTAATACTGTATAAGTAGAATTGTTCCCTGTTCATTTGTTTATCATAAATGAGCAATCCTTATTTTAAATATAATGCAATTAAATATTAAAATGTTTTTGATTAAGTATTTCTTAATATATTTGTATTTTACAGAATGAACAACATAGTAAGAATATTATTAAGAAAAGGAATAGTTGTAGACTTAGCAAGAATTCCACATTACTTAGACTTATCTAGTCCTCACATGGCTGCTACAGTTAATGGAGCTCTTAAACCATTAGAAACTTTATCACGCATTGTCAATTTGCCTTCAAGTCATTCTACAAATAAAGCAAAAGAAAAAAATTTGACATCAGTTGTACATGTCAGAGGTTCTGTACCAGAAACCTTGGAAGAAAGTGCAAGTGCTCGTTGCAATGGTAATATATTTTGTTTATTTTTTATAGGTTATACAGTAGAGAACCATTTATCCGGTATCCAGATAACCGGGAAACCAGAAAAACAGGCGGTTTTCCCGCCATTTTAAACTAGAACGATTATTAAAAAAAGCGGAAATGGATGGTGTTTTCTACACTAGGGAACGCTGCAAGCTCGGTACCGCCTAAATTTCCGGGTTACTGTTTCCGTTCTATTTTAAAGCCATTTGGCATCACTGTGTTTTGAGATTCTTGCAAACAATGTTTTTGATTACTTATTACTTGTGTTTACAATGCTAAAAGTGTTAACACTAACGTAAGATGGTGCACAGCTTGCAACAAGAACAAACAGTAATAAACTTATGGAAAGAGGTCAAATCAAGACTGCCAAAAATGTGAGTTACTCAAAATCTAGCAATCATGTCACCTTTTTTAAAAATATATCTCTAAATAACTAAATCAAATTTTCACTTCAAACTCACCAGAATTACATAATAGCATTAATATCTTATAAATATGGCAGATTTGAGCTCAGAAATTATCTAATTTATTTCTTTTATTAAAAGCAAAATTATCTGTATGAAAATATCGCCTCGTGGAATAACACGTAGTAAGCAGCAGCAAACTTTCTAACTGGAACTGGAGCAGGCATGCAGCTCGAGATTAGTCCCGCAGTGGACTGATCGTTAAGACACGGTTCCCAGCAGATCACCGAAGTCAAGCATCACTGGCTGCGGTCAGTGTGCGGGTGGGTGACCACTTGGATCAGTCTGCGTAGGGACCGAGGGTGTGCGGTATTGGTCCTCGTTAAACTGTGCTACCTTAAAGTGCTCGACTTCGCGCGCAGGTCGTCGGGCTACCGAAGCGGGGGTGCCATCCCCTCTGCAGAGGATCAAAATTGTGATGGCATGTCTTCGGATCATCCTCCGGGATGTTTCCCAGACCGTCGCCAATAGCCCATTGTGCAGCTCTAGTGCGACGTAAATTAACAACAACAACAGCAGCTCGAGATTGTAATTGTTTACATTTCTACTGAAAACACCATCCATTGGACTCGTCCTTGAAGTTGAGTAGAGGAAAATGTAAGGAAGGGGAGCATTCCCCCCCCCCCGTTTACAAAGAGAAACATCATTTCCTCTGTGACCTTGAAGATCAAGAGAAGGCAGGCAAGGGAGGAATGTTCTTTAGGCCGTCAATCAAACTCAAAGGTGTGGCACGCTGATTTCGTTTTCAGTTTGATTTACGAGGGGGGTGGGGAAAATGCATTGCATGCATATCAGTGAACAGAAGATGAAAGAGAAAAATATATTTATCTATTTGACATCGATTAATAAAAAAATCTTTTTCTTTTGAATAAATTCTGATTCTTTGGGAGTGTGGTATCATTTGCAATTTTTTCTTGGTGTGGAATCACATCTGCTGTAATAAAAAATCGTGTTCTTATCAACAAAAAAAATAAAGTAAGAGGAGAATTGTTTATTAATTTAAGCATAGGATTATTTTATGAAGCAGATTGCAGTTTTGTTTTTCTGTTTCCGCTACGTTAGATTTTTTTTTTCTTTTCACGATAAATTTCGCACTCAGTAAATTAATTCTTTTTATTCATAAATTTTATCATTAGGTTTTTTTTAAAATTCCGTTGATCTTGCCTTGTTCCGGGTTTTAATATTTATGCTAGTGCCTTTTTTAACTATCGTTTCGATGATTTTCCAGTGTTTATTTAGATTAATAAGTTTTCCTTTTATTTCATCGTTTCCCCCCGTAGAATTAGGTATGAAATATATTGCGTTATTTAATTATTGGTTTTGTTTATATTAGTTAATTTAGGAATTGTAAATATGTTTTAAAAAATAAATATGAGAATTTTGTATTTTTTAAACTTGTTTTTCTTGTCTAAATTTGCAAATTTTTTTATTCTTTTAAATGTTATTTTTCTACCATTTTTTTTCTTTTTAAATTTAGGAGTGCCTTTCTTTCTTTTTTCTCTTACTTTATGCGTTACACTTTTTCCTTGGAATTCGGGTTCAATAAAACATTGATTAACGACACTTTTGGGTCGATCCAGAAACCGGGAAATTCAGACATCCGGGATAGCAATGGTCCTGAGCATCCCGATAATTGGTTCTCTACTGTACTACTTTTATACCTTAGTATTTACTGACACAAATTATACCGTGATTGTCAATATTAATGTGAAATGAAAATGTATTGATTGCTCAAACCCTTTGAATGAATGGTTGCTGTGCATAATAATTTCTGATTCTAAAACAATCATCTATGAAAAAAATTTTTTTTACTTGAAACCCTACCTTTACTTCTAGCTTATGACTTACTTACAATATGTGCTTTGCAATATCACTGGCATATTCAGACAGCTCATGAAAAATGTAAAATTTCAAAGCTATTTTATTCACTGCCATCTTTGAGTCGAAGAAGTCTGGGCCAAAAGGGTATAACACTGATTTGGATTAAGGCCTAATTATTTAATCCCCTTTCTGAATATGCCCTCATATGGTATTATATTACAGGGTGACAACGAATAATTGGGTTACACTTTATTGTGTCCTAAAAATATTTTTTTTACCCCTGCTAACTATTTACTTGACTAAGTTTTGCATACTTTTTGTACTAGTGCTTTGTTTGCTTATTTTTGTTTTTTTTTGGATGATAAACTTCTGTTCTGGAAATTTTATGTTTAAATTATGCAGTAAAAAAAAAGGCACGTTTTTTAAATAACTTCATTTGTCTGAATAGTTTTGACAATTTAAGAATAACTTAAATAATCTCAAAATCTAGCAATTTTTTTTCTTTTATGCAGTATTGTTTTAAAAATAAATTAAATTTTCAGGATTGCTTATAATAATGAAGACTTAAGGGAAAATTATTCTGTTATTTTGTAGAAAATTTTTTTATTTATTTATTTTTTTACCCAGTTTAACTATATTTACTTTGATTCTCTCATTAGCTGATGTCACTCTGCCATATAGAAGAAATGAAGTACCCTCTCAAGATTTATCAGTATGTTATATTTGAGTTTATTTAATGTTAGTTTTTGTATAAACTATTGTGTTGTGTGATTATTTTTTTATACTTAGATCAAATTTAATGAAGATTTCATTCACAAAATTCGGCATTTCCTGCAATAACTCAAAAAATATTTTGAAATGTTTTTCTTATTAATTAAATCCCAATTTTCCTGACTGTATATTTTACTTTGTTTTTATTGCTTAATAGAATGTGAATTGTAATACAGTACAGAACCCGTTATCCGGAAATCAGAAAACCAAAAAACCGGAACGAAATTCGATAAATTTTCTCGCCATTTTTAAAAAAAAAATTTTTTTTTTCCTCATAAGATTTTACGATTTTTCTTTCTTTTTTTAAAGATGTTTACCTTACCATCATTTGAGAAATAATCATTAGTGCATTACTTCATCGTTTTTTCTTATTTTTAAAATTATTTCCAGATTTTTTTTTTTCTCTTTAGTTGGGTTTAACAATAAAAAAAACGGCTTTTTGTAGCGATTCAGAAAACCGGAAAAATCAGTTATCCGGAATAGCGATGGCCCCGACCATTCCGGATAATCGGTTCCCTACTGTATATAAATAGTAAAATATTTTGTGCTTATTAGTGCAAGACTCGTCAGTAATTTGCTTAAGGCTGGATGTGTAAGGTATTTCGGTTTAGATTTTTATTTTAAGTAGTTCTTAATTTTCAGATCCATAGAATTTTTTTTTTTTTTTATGCATTGAAAAATTGCAGAATTGCCAACCCTCTGACGTTTGGCCGGAGAATCCAGGTTTTTGCATGTTTTTTCCTCCTTCGGGATTTTCTCGAAAATCTCCGTTTTTTTCACTTATTTAGACGCTGAACGAAATTTTCATCCATATCCGTCTCAATTGCGTCTGAGCTGGGCGTGGCCTGAGTGGTGACGTTTATCATATGTCTTGGCTAATCAAGAGTGCTATTTCGTCTTTCCTTTCTGCGTCTGCTATTAGTAGAATAACTGCTGAGTCAGGCTTCTCTTTGTAATTACTGCTTTGTGATTGGCTGCTTTTGGAAGCAAGAACGTTCGCTGTATGTGCTGAGAAATAATTTTTGTATCGCTTTCGTTGTACTGTGAAGTGAAGAGAAGTCAATATCAGCAACTTCGAATCTGAGTTTGTTTTTATGCGTGAGCGTTCATTTTTCTGTCTTGTAAGTTAGTTTTCTGTGTGGATATATATAATGTCAGCAAAAAAAGTTAAGAAATACTTAACTTCTTTCAACCAAGCTTATTCGGAAGAATTTCCTGGAATCATTGCTTCTAAAAAAGGATTGAATTAGGCCTTCTGCACGCTTTGTTCTGTGGATTTCTCAATCATGCATAAAGGCAAAGGCGACATGTCTGCTCATGTTACGAGACAAAAATATGTGGATAATCAGAGGATACATACAGAAAATAAAACATTTGATTTTTCTGTGAAAAAAAATTATAATTCTGCTATCCCCGCAGAGGTGCTCTTTACATCATTTATTGTTGAATATAACATTCCTATCAGTGTTGCTGACCATGTTGGTCCCCTACTGCGGAATATGTTCCCAGGCAGCAAGATTGGGAAAGAGTATAGCTGTGCGAGGACGAAAACAACAGCGATTGTTGGGGAAATGGCTAGATCCAACAAATTGGATATTACTGATATGCTAAAAAGCAACATGTTTTCAATTTCTACTGATGGAAGCAACAAGGGTGACAATAAATTGTTTCCAATTGTTGTTTCTTTCTACAAAAAAAAAAGAACACTGATTGTCGCATGTTTGATATCTCTGCCTGTTTTGGAGGGAGATGCCACTGGAGTTAATTTATCTAAACTCATTTTAAATGCTTTAACTTCTAGTGAAATACCTTTGGCAAATTGTTTAGCTTTAGGTGTGGATAATGCTCCTGTGATGACAGGGAGAAAAATGGAGTGGCAGGAATCCTTACTAAAGATATTCCAGACTTATTTGTGCAAGGATGCCTATGCCAGCTCTTAAATTTGCCAGCTGAAAAGGGGGCAAAGTGCTTGCCAGTAAATATTGAAGAATATATTGTGGACATATTTTTTTATTTAGAAAAGAGTGTAAAGCTCAAGGAGCACCTTAAAAATTCCAAAAATTGCATAATACTGAAGTATGAAAATATTGAAACATGTTGCTACTTGATGGTTGTCTGTCAAGAATTTTACAACAATGGGAACCACTTCTTTTTTTAAAGATGTGAAGAGCACTCCAAGTGTTGCCCTTCCTAATTATGTTATTCCTAAGAAGAATAGTAACTTCTCTCACACAGAAACAAAGAAGATTATCAATAGAAGAGAAAATGACAATAATATGCCTCCATCAAAGAAGCAAAGGGTAGAGAACTTATCAGCAATACAACCTAGTGAAATTCTTTCCAGAGAAGAAAGAATCTTCATGTTTTTGTCATCAAACCTAAACAAAGCCTTTGTTCATTTTTTGCTGTATATAGTTCCTTTATTTGAAGACCTAAATTTGCACTTGCAGAGTAACATTCCCAAAATTCATGCCATGAGGCAGTTAATGAATAACCTATTCAAGGATATTTTGTCTAAATTTATGCTACCCAACATAGTCAAAAGTCAATCCAAAAGCTCTTTCTTGGATGTCAATTTTTATCTTCGAGAAAACCAGAAAGATGATTTCCACTTTAACTATTGTTGAGACTTTGAAAGGAAACGAAAAAGATTCTTTTTACTGTGATTTTAGGAAATATTTTGTAAAGGTTTATGACTACATGCAACAAATATTTCCTTATAATGATGAGGTCATTATTAATGCAGAAGTTGAAAATCTAGACAATGTAGAAACTACATCTTTTTCCAGCATTAGATTTTTTATTGATAGATTTCCTCAGTTGTTGCAAATCTTAGGGGGGCAAGATAAAGACTCAGTGTTGGACAGTTAGCAGTCCCAATTTAGTTCTCTGCTGCTAGAATCTATTGATTGTGTCCAATCTGAAGAAAGGATGGATTCTAAATGGGCTAAATTATCTGTTGTATTTAAAAATAAATATGCTATATTGTCTAAATTTATGCTATTAATTTTGGCAATGCCACATAGCAATGCTGAGTGTGAGCGCATATTCATTTTAGTAACCAAAGCTCACTCACTGTTTAGATCTTCAATGTCAGTAAAAAACTAGGATCACTGTGAAATCTAGAATTTCAGAACCCTGTTATAAGCAGAAATTTGATGATGACTTTTTCAAAAGGGCTAAAACAGCCACAGTCAATCATAATAATAATAATTAAAATTTTGTTTCCTAGTTTTTATTTTATATACAGTACAGAACGTGTTATCCGGAAATCAGAAAACTGGAAAACCAAAAAACCTGAACGAAATTTGATAAATTTTCCCGCCATTTAAGAAAAAATAAATTTTTTCCTCATAAGATTTTAGGATTTTTCTTTCTTTTTAGAAACATGTTTACCTTACCATCATTTTGGAAATAATCATTAGTGTATAACTTCATCGTTTTTTCATCTTTTTAATATTATTTCCAAATTTTTTTTTTTTAGTTGGGTTTAACAATAAAAAAAAACGGCTTTTTGTATTGATTCAGAAAACCGGAAAAATCAGTTATCCGGAATAGCGATGGTCCCGATTGTTCCGGATAATAGGTTCCCTACTGTGCTAGTTTTTATTCTATAATTCCTTAAAAATTTTGATCTTTAATCTAAAATATTTTTAATTACAAATGAAGTTTCTAATTTTCCATTTAAAGAAAGGTATTGATTTAGTTTCCTAAACTTTTATTTATTATATTTTTTAAAAAATAAGATAGTTTAGCCCATTTATATATTTATTTTTAATTAAAAGATCAAGTGGATTCTGAGGTAAACACACTGCTGAAAACATCACTGATGTCTATTTATGAAATAGTAAAGTTTTAGTAAAATTTAGACTTAAAAAAATTTTTTTTTTCAATTAACAATATATAAAATGATATTCATTTATTGATCTTTATTAAACACGACTAGATGCTATATTGTTGAATGACTGAAAAATTAAAGACACTTTCTTTAAAGGCAAATCTAATGTAAATAATTTCTATTTCTCATTAATAAAATTACTAGCTTCTATGGAGTACTTTAAAACATTTTCTCTAAATGATTATCTGTATTTTAATTCATAAAATTGGTAGTTTTGTTTGATCTATCTCGCATGAAAAAGTCTCAAAAATTGGAAGCATGGCTTACTATGTTGTGAATTTTTTTAATTTTTTTACTTAGATCGATCCAACTCTTGAGGGGTTTATGAACGAAATTCTTGAAAGACGAGAACATTCTACACCTTCCGAACAAGGTAAGTTTGATTCTCCTTGAAATTTCTTTTTATAGCTTTCTCATGAAAATAAGTAAGACTTGATTATATAATGCTTGAAAATGAAGTTAAGGACACAACAATACATATGTTTAGCCCTTTTTAGAGGTGGGTAGAATTCAGAGTAGCAGAATGTGTCTAATCCTACAAGTGATGTTCAGGGTGAATTCAGTCAGAATTTTTGGTCTAATACAGTGTAACGTCCCATACCTGGACGTCCCTTTCCCGGAAGGGTCGATTTCCCGGACACTTTTTAACAATCAAAATAAACAAACATCTCTCCATCTTCCCCTTTCCTAAAAAAAAAAATTAAAAAAAAGATCTTTTGACACATTTTCTCTTTTTCTAGCTTGCACTGAACCTCTGATTTATGCATCGAACCCATAAATCACCAGAAAGGGGAAGTGAAGATCTACCAAGACCATTGAGTGACCGTTAGTGACGCTCCTCCCTTGGAATGTAGGAAAAAGAGGGAGATTTGTTTTCAAAAGACCGCAACTGAGTCCCCCCCCCCCCTCCTTTCCCATGCAGGTGGCTAGTAAAAGAGGCATTTCCTGGAACCTTTTTATTGAAAGAAGAAATACTGTGGAAAAGGGTAAACGGGGCAAGCGTTAAGGTGGAGGGGGAGTCAAAATGGAAAATTTGAATAGGTCTAAAAGGATATACGTCCTTGAGAAACAAAACATTCGTTCTTCCCCATACCATGTAATATTTAGGAGGCGGGGGGAAAAAGGGGGTAACATTCTCTCTTTAGCAGATTCTTTCAGTCATAGAAGAAAAAATAAAGAGAACCCGATCAGCGTGCCCCGCCTTTATGCTTGATTGATAGCCAATGATTGGAGAGAAAACAATAATTTGTTACTTCCCCACCCTCAACTTAAATGATCTCCTCTCTACACTTATTTTCTTTCACAAATAAGGAGGAAATGAATTTTTCTCCTCCACCTACCCACCTTAATGAATGACGGGAATTTCCCTTTCTTGCTTGAATCATTCTAGTTAAAAATGGCGGATTATTATTTTCATATGTCAATTTTGTTTAGTTTTCTATATTTTAAGCAATAATATTTTTTTTCTAATATTTCCTGTTTTATTGATTAGATATTCTAATACAGGGTGCGTAGCGTTTGTAAAAAGTGCTTAAAGGTGCTTTTTTGGGGATTTCGTTTTTAAAAGATTTTAAAGGTGCTTTTTTCAGATGGCGTTTTTAAAAAGTGCTTTTTTCTCGAGTAATTGTTTTTCCCTTCAGTGATATCTGGTGGATCCCATGCATTTCACGAAAAAAGGGGAGTTTGCTACGTAATCATCCACGCGGACTTCATGTCGTACCCACGTTATGACTTTAGCATGCGCGCACGTTTGAAGCCGAAACCCGAGTGCTTCAATTCGGATAGAGAATATCAGATCCTTATGAAATGTTTTTATTTTTAATTTATTTTAATTTTGTTTTTGTTTATTTTATTTTACTTCTAACACTTTTTTTGACGTAGGGGGTAAGGGTACTTTTGTACTGAGTTCAAGGTTCAGTTGAATTCACTCAGTGATGTGGGAAAGTACTGATTGTTTCGATTTACGCCCGTTTCTTTTTGGGGTTTTTTTTAACGCTAAAACTGTTTACAAAAAGTTTTTGTTTTTCAATAATATCATTGATTGAATGTCAATTTTTTGAGTGCTTATAAATTTTTGTAAAGTGCTTGAAAAGTTTTTAAAAAGTGCTTGAAAAGTTTTTAAAAAGTGCTTATTTTTGATTCAAAGATTTGGCTACGCACCCTGTAATACTAAAACATTATTCCCCTTAAAAATAATGTTTATTTTTTTTTTGCTTCTTAGATTTAGATCATTTTAAGCTTTGTTCCAGAATTTCCCCTTCCTGCTTGAATCGTTCTACTTCAAAATGGCAGATTAATATTTTCGTAACTGTTAAATTTTTTTCGTTTTCCATATTTTCAGCAATAATATTTTTTTTCTAATATTTTATATTTGATTGATTAGATATTTTAATGCTAAAACATTATTCCCCTTAAAAATAGTGTTTATTTATTTTTTGCTTCTTAGATTCAGATCGTTTATTAATTCATTTTAAGCTTTGTTTACCTTGGGGGAGTATTATACGGAAAAATCTATTATACGGACTTCTGGAAGTCCCACCGATTCCGGATATGCGACTTTTCACTGTAATAACAATAATGAAAAAATTGATAAAATTTTTTTTACTGTTGAAAATAATGAATCGCTTCGCAAAATTTCCCCCTGTGAAAGAAAAGAAAAAAATGGATTGGAGAATTATTCCTGAAGAAAAATTCTTACAAGAAAGATCAAGCACTGACTTCATGAACAAAAGTGAACAAATATTTTTTGCTAAAAGAGTGATATTTTCTGTTTTGTTAAACATGACACAAATAACTTTATATCTTGATTTGTTTATTTATTAGTTTATATTCCTTAAGTGAGTCCTTATATTAAGTTTGAAGGATTTTTAATATTTTAAGGTATTTTGATTTTCATTATTTTTGAAACTTATGCTATTTTATTAAGCTTATACTATATTATTCTATTATATATTTTTCATTTATTTTTTTCTTTTGTTGAAGGAAAATTTATCAAAGTTTTAACAGTACACATATTTTAATCTCTTAAAATATTTTGAAAAAGCTATTCTAATTTAAAGGAAAGAAAAAAATTCTGTAATTTGGGGGAAAAAAAAACAAAAACTTTTCTCTAAGGAAATATATAGGTCTGAGAATTTCTGCACTCCTTCTGGGACTAAAACTAGGATTTTTAGACAGTATGAATGATTCTAATATGTTTAATTTTAGTCACTTCTTTTTTACATATTAATATTTTCATTTAAAAATAATTGCAATCATTACTAATAACTGTAATATGTACGCTATAAAAATATATGAAATTTAATCATTAAGAAAATTTATAAATTTCTCATACATGAAAATTGCAATTAGAATTTTTATTTTTCAGTTAATCATAAGGCAAACTAGTAAATTTATGCTTTTAAATTGTGAAAAGAAATAGATCTATGTATACATTTTCTTCAAAGCAACAACATATTTATTTATTTTTACCAATTTAAGTTTTTTGTTTGTTTTTTGATTTGGTTCTTCATGTTTTTTTCCTTCCAAATCTGAAGGCCCTAGTTCCACAGAACAAGATCTTAATGTTACTGTTGAAGTTGATGATCATACTCGTCCTTCCATTGGAGGTCGGCGATCTAGTTCTTTTGGAGATCAAGCACAAGGTAAATAAGACTTTTTAAGTTTATGATTTCATTTTGTTTTCTTGTTCGTCCCTTTTTTTTTTGACTTCATAGAATAACGATTATACAATTAAAAAAATGTCCAATACAGGATTAAAATTTTCTTATATTTTGTTGTTGAAATTAGCAAATTTTTCAGTTATATGTTCATTAATGTGTCATTAAATTATGAGAACTATAGATTTATATCTAGAAATGTGTATTTATTCTGTTAGAAAATTCATGAATACTAGTAGGCTCTGCTTCCTGTTTGCTGATGTTCCCCAACCCCCGAAGATTGCTATGGAATCTTATATGGGCAACTCCATGGATAAAAATACATTGCATTTTGATATATTTTCTTATTTTTAAAATTTTTTTATTAATATTTAACAATTTGAAAAAAAAATATATATGGGGCTTTTTTCAATATCCTAACATTATTATGCATGTAAGAAAAAGGGATGAAAATTATAAATGTTTTTTAGAATAAAATTATGAAATATGATAGGCGTTGCATCGAAAGGACATGGAATTAAACATTGTTGTTACTGTGAAATTCTCTTTTGCTGTATAAGTAAAAATATGATTATTTTCTTTAATGTATTAAAAAGGAAACCGCAAATGAATAGGAAACATTCAAAATATACATAAAATGATATAGAAAGTAGTAAATAGGGACAAAGCTCTTGTTTCTGATGTTAAAATTTTTATGTGACTGATGTTACAAATTATATTAAAATATTAATAGCCCTTTTTTATTATTGTTACAAAATACTTGAAAACTGATATTTTGGATTTCATATTTAAAATAATTTGAAAAAAGCTGAAAAAAATTCTTAATGGACGGTGTTATTTTTATTTTTTTGATATTGTCCTTTGTATTATGGAATTGCCCATATAGTTCGCTCACTACTAAGTTCAACCCATTTTTAATGTGTTCTAGCGTAAAATTTTAGAAATTTAAACTATTTATTAAATTTATAATTAATTCCTTTTTAAAACATTAAAAATTTTTAGGAACAAAAGGAACAGAACTATTATTCTTTTAAAAAACATGTATGACAGCATGTCTCCTGTGCATTTTTTCAATATTGCATCTTCATAACTGTCATTTTTTAAGGCAATCTTCTGCTTATCAAGCACACTTTTTTTTAAAAATTGTTCTTAAGAAGCAGAAAACATAGACTTCTTTTTCAATTAATGAAATTATTGTTATTGAACCTGTATAAGTAAAACATAATCCAGAACACTTAGTTGATTTAAACAATTTGCTTTTAATCTTTCAATTCTTACCAACTTATAGCTCAGTTTGTTTCAGCTTTTTGTTGTTCATGCAAAAAATAATTTTCAAAATTTTTTAAACATGTACGTTTATGCTTTCATGCTTTTAATGACTCCTACGCTTATTATTTCCATTCTTTGTCGCCAGCGAAAAAGTAATACTTTTTTTAATCGCCATGTAATAATATATATTTATAAATGTTGATAAATTTCAAAATCATTTTCAATTTTGAAGTGCAAAATATGTTTTTTAGAATAAAAACGTAAACAAAAAATTAAGCTGAAAGACAAAATTCAACATTAAAATTGATTATCTTGGTCTTTAGTTATTTTGTAATTGATAAGTAACAGACTGTAATTTTAATGTTTATAATGATATTTCTTCTCTTCCTATTGTAGTTAAACAATGTTCATTTACTCCATTTGACCAAGTTAAATCCATCAATTATTAAAAATGGCATCCATCTTAATACAATAAGTGTCAGCTTGTTTGTAGGACATTTTTCACCATTGTATATTATCATTTTAAGCTGCCTATTGCTAACAATAAAGCATAATATCCTAATAATTTTCTAATTTGTGTTACACCATTCATTGGAATAATTGTTTTCGTGTTCTTCTCATTTATTTTAGATGATCAACAAGAAAGTAGTGATTCTGAAAGTAATTCTGAATCTGGACATAGTCATAGCGAGGATGAAGCTGAACGTGATGAACGAGTTGAAGATGATGAGGAGGAAGAGGAAGATGTAGGAAAAAAGTTTTTTTTTTATTAATTATTTTTTCCTTTTTATTTTATGTTAAAGTACAAAGCATTAAATTTTTTAAATATTTACTTAATTTTAGCTATTAGAATTATTACTGAGTTCCCAGGGTACTAGAAAGTCCTTGAATTTTGTCGGAATAAATCAGGGCCCCAAAAAGTCCTTGATAGATCTTGAAGCTTTTGATTTTCTAAGTGTTTTTCAAAATAATAATAATCTTTTCTACAAAAAGGCATGGAAAAAACCTTAAGCGAAGTGATAGAAATTTTGAACAAAATCTATCCTTTTGCCATTTTCTTTTCTGAAGAATAGTTCAAGATCAGCTGAGTGGGAGTCAATGACTCTGATCTAAATTTGTAAGAAGGCCTTTATCCTTATTTACATCTTTCCTGTGATTGGATTGCAAAATACAAGTAAGTTGCGGGGAAGACAATGAAGAAAAGAAAATATTGAGCATAACCATGTCTAGTATTAGCTACTTTTACCCATGTGTAGCATGCACTAATTTTGAATTGTGTGGTTTTTGAAACTTTTTTATTTGCTCTCTCGTGAATATTAGTTTCATTCCAATTTGTAGAGAATGGAAGGTAATGAATGGAATGGTAATTTCTGATTTATGCAATTTATATTGCTATCAAATATGAAATCTTCAAGAAATTTGCACTTGAGAAATGTTTGAAAAGCTCCAATGAGTAGATTTTTGAAGGTGAAAGGGGAATACATAATTTTTCTCACCAGATTATCGTTCACCTTGACGTTTAAAAAGATGGAGTCTCTTGCAAATAATCATTGTTTTGTGCATAGCTTTAGTTATGTTTGATTTTTTAAATTTTTTCTTTTAAATTTTATAAAATCTTGCGTATTGAGTTTTAGCATTAAAGTGGTTTATGTATCAGTCATCAATATTTAGGATTTGTTGCTTTTTGCATTTTTTCAAACCATCATTTGCTACTCATATTGTTTTGATTTTGAACATACAATATATTTCAATTTGCAACTCTTACATTGTGTTTTACGCGATCTTCAGAGATTATTTCATGTAAATTTTTAGTTTTTTGTAACATATCACAATTTTTATACATACAATTTAAAAACTAAGCATAGTGAATCGCATTCACAAAATTTTTAAAATCGTGCTTTATGATTTATTATAAAGAAAATAGAGTTTGGTTAATCTTTGTTTGTTATCTGTCAAAATATTGTACTACATAAGATTTTATTATGTTCAAAATACATTACAGATATTCAGAGGTATTGAAAAGATATTGTATTTTTAAAAATTGAAACAAATATGCAAAATATTTTTTAATTAATTCTAATGTGCATCATAAAACTTTTCAAAGTTTTACTGGTGTCAGTCATAACATTAAAAGTTGACAAGTATGTTAATGTCAGTTGGAAATTTTTTGCTCATCTTCAAACTGATTTCAACCACAATTAACTGTAAAACCATTTTCGTTAGTTGCTGTTGGCTACTCATATTAAGAAATCACTCTACAACTATTAAACGATGTAAAATTGATTAACTTAATATATGCTTCAATGTAATAAAATCTGGTTGACATGTATTTTAGCATACTAACTATTACTGAGTAGGTCTTTGAAAGTCATTGAAATGTCTTATAATTTTTTGTATGTTTGAAAATTGAGTGAGAACTCTGTATTATGTAGCTTTCCTTAGCAATTTTCAATGTTAATGTTAGTATATAACTGCTTATGGAATATTAAACCAAAACCTATTATTATCTCCAAATTGGTATCAGCAAATATTATCTACAGACAATCCTGATGATTCCTTTTTTTCCCCTTTCAAGTGAAAAAAAATTTTTTTTTTCTTCCTAATTTCTTCAGTAAATTTTGTTCCTTCTCTTTCACATAATTTATTTCTGAACAAAATGCTATTTCTAAAGCTAAATTAACTGGAGCTAAGCAAAGAAAGAAATAAAGAAAAAGCATGAGATTTTTCTTCAGATTCAAAAAAGAACAAACAAAAATATAATTTAAAAAGCCATTTGTTTATGTTGCACATGAAATAGTTTTGTTTTTCTAACATTTAATGTTTTATTTTATTTTCCCCTCTTGTTTTTCTGTTTCTGCAATCTCATGCCTCTATACACAAAAATAAAATAAAGATTTCAAAATTTTCTGCTTCAACTCAAAGTTGCATAAATTTTATTTCTTGAAAAAGTAAGCATAATTAACTCTCTGACTATTAAATTTTTTTTAATTTCATATAAAAAAGTGATTTGTAATGTTATGCCCGTGGATTTTGCAATCAGTAAAGTAAGAGTAAAAATAAATAAATAAGCAAATAATTGCCAGGCTCTTGTACTTTAGAGTTGTAAAGGATTTCCTATAGTAGATCAAACGTGTTAAATTGATTAATTAAATCTACTTATGTTCTAACTGATACATGCTAATGAATAATAACAAAGAATGTGGCTGGCATTGTATATTTACCCTGTGCTATCATTCATGTTAATTGATTTATTTATCATGTATGTAGTCAATAATAGATGAAACTGTAAGTTATGTTTGGAAGTTCTTACTTTATTAAACATTTTTCATACTTGATACTGAGTTCTCATTTATGTGTGAAACGTCACTATTTAAAGTCTGTGATTAGTCTTCTTCAAGAACTGGCTTAAAAGTCTGTATCTGGATCTATAAATCATATTTTTAAGATCACACTTTAGGAGTTTGATAAAATTTGAAATATCTTTAGCTGTGTAGATCGAGGATTGATAAAATTTGCATTACTTTTGTTTTATGGAATTTAGAATTATGTTTAATGGCTCATTTTGTAATTGTTTAGATTGAAATAGTTAAGTCTTTTGAATGATATTTAGAATTTAATTCCTAGGCTAATGACAGGCAAAGTTTTTCATTAATTGTATCATGTGAGGAGAATATGGTGTGTGCAATAATATCAGATCACTTTTTTAGTATGGTCTTATGCTAAATAGTGTACAAGTGATAATGATATGATGGAGGGTCATCGAGATATAGGTTATTTTGTTGACTGTTAGGATATTTGACCTAAGTCATTGATTTTCCATCTTCTTGTTCTTAGCCTAAGATAGGCAACTTAAAATATTTCTTTCTCTATATTACTCTAAACTAAACTAAACTCAGCGGCGCGACAGCCCTAGAGGGCCAAGGCCTACTGTGCCCATCTCAGTTTTCTTGGACTCTGGGGTGCAGGAGCAGATGTTCTGGTCAGGTGGTCAACCGAACGCAGAACCCCCAGTGTTCAGTTCCCAAGCATGCTTGGTACTCATTTATTGACCCACTGAAGGGATGAAAGGCTGAGTCAACCTTGCACGGCCCGAGAATCGAACCAGGGATATTTTCAAAAATCTGATCATTTCCTTGTAAATGAGAAATTGGTCATTGATTTTAATAATGCTTCATATATGCTCTAATTAGCTAAATTTTGGACAATAACAGTGCTTACTATAAAGAGAAAAAATGTTTTTTTATAGTTCTGATTTATTTTTAATCATGAGAATTATTTTTAATCAACGAAAATGCATTTGTAATTCCTCTTACCCAAAGCCCTAAAACTCCCCTTACTTGATAATCATGTTTTTATTGTGTATGAGTATGTATAAACTGGTAATTATTTTTAAGGTTTCACGTTTTGAAGTTGGGGACGATTTTGCAGCATTGGATTTTTTCCGTGTGCAGGACCGTGACGATAGCTTGTTTTTCCAACTAGAAGAAGTTTTCCCATCCTCAGGTATGCTATTGAAATTAATTTTGTAGTTTTTATTCTATTAGATTTTAAAGTTATAGAGGATCCCAGACTAGTTGGCCATGGCTTTAGTTTTTGATTTTTTTTAACAATTTCATGCACTATAATTCTTAAAAAAAAGATGGGAGATCAATGATAATTCTTAAAAATAAGTTATACACCTCTGATGGTATTCTTAACTATGAATGAAGCAGTGCTGGTACATTATAGTGGCAGCATATACACTAGTCATTTTATTAGGATTTTGCTTAAAATTGAAATCCTAATAAAAATGACTAGTGTACATTGTCTTTCATAGATGATATAAGTATTTAAGTGATGATAAATACTTTAACTAAGTTAATAATTTTTACAAATTTAAATTCTGTGGCAAATTGTATTAATAATTTAATATTTTAAACAAAATATGCTTTGCCTATTTGAAACTGCAGCTTGCACCAGGGGTTCCTTTAGAGGGATACCAAGAAGGGCAAGTCACCATGGCCATTTTTTTTTGGTGGAATACTTTTTATTTATTTATTAATTTTTTTTTTGAAAAATATTTTAGTTATAATATTGTAAATTACATAAAGGATATTTTTCATTATTTCAGGGGTCATTTTTCAATACTTGTAAGGGGATTATTTTCAAAATTTTTTTTAATGGGTGCTATTTTTCCAGCCAATTTGATTATATTATCAATGTTCTACTTTGCAATTACAAAAAGTTCAAAAAAGTGAGACACATTTACAACTTGAGTTTTTTGAGTAATGGGTTAGATTTCAATATTTTTTTTTGTAGTGTAGACTTCTCAGATTTTTTTTAGTGGGAATTATTCTTTGCCGCCATGTTCATAATACCTTCAACCAGGGCTGGCAAGTTTTTGACACATGACGGTTTTTACCGTGGATTTTACCATCATCTCAAAAACCTCTGTGTCAGAAACGTCAAAAACTGTCAAAAATCCATAGTTTTGGTAAAAGTGTATTTTTATTTGAGTTTAACTGCTTATAATTTAGAATTAATTCATTTTTGAGCAATAAAATTAGAAAAAAGTTGTTAAAAAATATTTAAAAACAGATTCTTCATTTTCCCAACATGAATATATCAAAACATACTATTTAAAGTAAAATATTAGGATACTAAACAAAATTTTCAACATTTCCAAGCATCATTTTGTCTGGCATATTACATTACTGAAGAATGTCAAAATTGATTACTTTCATTCATAAAATCTTGCTATGAGAAACACATGTACACATAAATAGAAAGCCTCATAAAATAAACTTTTCTTATCAAATTTGCTTTCAATATTATACACAGAAATGAGACATGAAAAAGCCTGGGAAATCCTTTTAGAGTTTCAATATTTCTGTATGAATGTATATCCTTCTATATGAATACATGTATATAGTTTCAAAATCAATAGCAATCATTTACAACATTCATTTATAAAAGCAATTATGTGAAAATAATATATTGTCTGCTATATGCCATAAATTAAAGAAAACAGTAGGTTTTAGATGATTTTTACCACTGTCATGTCAAAAACCAGTTTTTGACGGCAAAAACCCAACCCTGCCTTCAACGCAAAATTTACATAATAAGAGACGCAAATTTATAACCAGTGAACTAAAACATTAGTTTTAATTTTGAGAGTCATAATTTTAAAGCCTTTTTTGGTTATGTTATTCTGATCGACTTTTTATTAGGTCTTTATTCCATTCAAAAAAGATGTTGAAGGTTTGAGAGGTTAATTTAGGATTTTCTCAATATATATTTATTTTTTTCGACTGCAGTGTTAGCAAGTTGCCTCTTTAGCAAGTTAGCATCCTTGTATTTAAATTATATTTTATTGAAACTATCTAGTTATATTTGAACAACTGTTTAAATACATCAAATTTGGACTCAACAGCCCTGAATATTGATAATTTTTAAAGAGAATAGCTCATTATTTTGTATGTCAGTTTTGTTAAGCAATCTATTTTTTCAGTGTTTTTTTTTTTTAAATTTCTTTTTCATAATGTTAGTTACGTCAGCTGAAAACGTATTACAAAATATTTCTAACAGTGAATCTAATTGAGACGCATCAGATATAGCTAAAATATTTTTTAAATAAATTTTTTTATGTATTCAAGGGTCTGTTCAGGTCAAATTTACTACCGTTTAGCGGTACTTTCGCAAATTCAACTTTAGGAAAAAACGTTTCACAAAATACTTTTTCTTAAAATTTAATTTTTGTATCACGTAAGAAACAATAAATCCTTATTTTTACCATATTTTTGTGTTGATTTTTTAAATACAATTTTTTGCAAATTTTGTCTAAATTTTCGCAAAATAGGTACCTCTCAGAAAAACCTAGCCAGACTCCTAGTATTTTTGTTTGCAGAAATGGGAGATATTTTCAAATTTAGGGGATATCCCCATCAGCATTGGGGGAGGTGGTGGGCACCCCTGACCTGGTCAATTTGGAAACTGAATTTGCTAACTCTCTAAGCTAAGTTTAAATATGCCAACTTATCCTTAATAAAGGCAAATTTTCCTCTCTCCAATTTAAATTCTTAAAAACAAATAAACTTGCCACAGCATTGATTCTTATGTATGAAATATCTCTTCTTTAATTAGGTGGTTCATCTGTGATATTTGGTGGCTCAGATGCAGTACGTACCTTTCAAATTCCAGTTGTTACAGATGAAAGCACTAGTGGAAATGAAACACCTGGTCAGTTTTTTTACCATTGATGTACCCATCCTTTATATTAAATTATTTCCAACGTTTACACAGTTAATTATTGAATAATTTTCTGAAGCTCATTTTATAACTGAAGGATAGTTTTAATCTGTGCTTGCTGAGAATTGTAATCTCTATTAATATTGTTATAAATTGTAGGTATTTATTTTTTTAAAAAATAATATGGCTCCATAATAGTATTAGTATATATTAGTTTAAAAATTTCAGGTAATAAGCTTAAAAAGAAATGTACCTATTTCTTATTTATGAAAATTATAATTGGAATTTATACTTTTCTAAAAGTAGAAATAGACAACAACAAATGAATATCTATTTCTCCTACATGCTCTTTTTTCTTGCTAAAATTTCAGATTGTTTTCTTCATGAAGCCATAACTATTGTTAAATATTCTTAACAAATTTCTGTTATACATATTTTTCTGTTTTTCAAAATATTTGGTGATAAAAATCATTAAATATCTTTTGAAATATTCATTTATTAAATAGATGTAAAAATATTTTAGTTTAATTTGTAGATAAACTTTCTCAGTATTATTTTCGTAGTATGATCTTGATCATTGATTATAAGCTTATTTATTTTCAACTTTCAAAAGTGTACATTCACTCTTGTCTATACATCTGAAAATTAATGAATTGCTGTTACTTAATATTAGGTAGTTTAATTCATCTACCAAATATAAAGCCTTGTGTAATCTGGTCAATTATATCCATTACTAGAATTATCTGTTGAGAAAACATTAGATTATTACTAAAACAAAATGAGACAATTCCAACTATTTTACCTTAAACAAAATGCCTTTTCGGCTGAGACATTTTCTGTTTTTGCTATATCATTCCTGGTACATGGAAATCTAAAAGTTAATAATATATTGTTCGGTATTTTGTTTTGTACATTGTACTTAATTGGATTCTTTCATGTGCTTGAGATGAGAAAATTGAGTAATGTTCTGTTATCATGAAAGTTTCTTTTTTCTTTTCAATTTATAAAATTAAGAAATGTTAATTTTTCTCTTTATTACAGCCCCAGCAGTTCCTCCGGCACCAAGGTCTGTTACCACTGTACATCCATTATTGGTAAGGCACGGAGATTCACAGTGTTCCTTGCAACCACGTGTTCACAGACGTCAAAGAGGTTATCGTACAAATATAGGGGGACACACATGGCATATGTATGCCACTCCCAATGGGAATACTAGTAGAAGACACCCAAATCCTCCTGTGATATTACAGAGGTTAGTACCAGTTAAATTGTAATATACATTTTATTTTAATATTCCTTAGACAATTAATTTTTATGAAGCCACAGAAGTTGATACTCTGATTTGATTCCTTAGCATTTTTATGTCCCCTTCTTCAACTATTATTTATTTAAACCTTTTCATTTTATTTCAAATAAAACAATTTATTCATATTTATTCATAGAATTTTTTTTTCATATTTATTTATATCAAAGGATATTTTAATTGAAGCAAAATTTATATTTGAATGTTTGTTGTGCACTTTTGAAAATGAAAGAATAATAAATAATTATAAAAATTAATAAATAATAATAATCATTTTATATAGTTGTATGTTCTTATAAGAAGAAAAAGGGTATAAAATGTTTCTAATATATCACATAAAATTAATAAAAACAAATCATCTGAATTTATTTAAATTGATGTTGGTTATTTGTCTAAATATTGGTTCTTGGTTATTTGAAATATATTTTGCAATTGTGTTTTAAATTCTTATGGCAATGTTGACCTCAAATGTCTAAAAAGCATTTTTATAATTATTTTATCAACTTCTGGGGGTGACCTAGTTATTGAATTTTTTCATATTTTCGCTATTTAGATTTTAAAACAAACCACATCTTTCTATAGTTTTAAGTTTTGAATCTATTTAACAATACTATTTTCAGTATTTCTTTTAACCTGATTTTTATAGGAATCAAACTTTTTGTGATATTATGTAACATTGGATCACTTTAATACTCATTGTAATTTTGTGCCCATTGTTCTTAAAATATTAACCTTTTCCAATAATCATTTCCCTTGATATTCTAAATGGCATTTATTCCTCGAAACTTTAGAAACTTACAGTTTCTTAAGTTAAGTTTAAACTTCAGAAACTTACAGTAAATAATCCAGCATGAAGTTGATTAGATCATTTCAAATAACTTTTGCTTAAGATAGAATAAAACAAGGATTACTGAAAACTAAAGAGTATGCAAGTTATTTATATATAAAAATGTTCAGAAATGGACAACTGAATTAATTAGCTTTAGCATAATTTTAGATTAACAGCAAATAATATGAATTGATTGTAATAAAATAATGCTAGTATTAAAAAATTGTCACACATCATTAATATAAAAGAACTGTACTCAATATTACATTTAAAGTTTTTTTTTCTTTCTATTTTTTATTTGCGATTTATTTTTCATGAAAATTAAAGAATTTGGTGGAGTAACTATTTCATCAGTTATATTTTACGTGAACTTGATCTATTGGATAAATCTGATCGAAAAAGAGAAACTTTTATTGATTTAATATTTATCAATGACCGCACTCTGAACTTAAAATTTTTTTGAAAAATTTGTTCCTACATTTTCTGTTTTTTGCATTTGTTTTCATTTATTATTATTCAGAGCTCATTCTAGGCAGGGTAAACAGGGCGCAGCACCCTGCTGCCCTTTTAGTCAAAAGAATCCACCCTGTTGCCCCTGAAGTAAATTAGTGCCTTGATGTGATAGATTCCATACCCTTTTTGCCCTTTCTGTCCTTAACCCTTCTTTATTTTTTCCTCAAACTCTACAATGGAACTCTTGTTGTTTTTAACTTTTGTTATTTATTTTGTCTTTGCTGTCAATACATAGATTTATATGGGAAAGGAAAAATAGCCATCACACCCCCTTGTAGCACTTGTCTTTGAAAGTTTGCAGTTACTTCCACTATCATTAAATCATAATTATTATTAATCATTTTAATTTTTAAATCATAACTACAGACACTCAAAAACATACATTTATTATTTTATTAATATATGCATGCATTTTAAATAAATTACTAAGCTAATTAGCTCATTAACTGGATATATATGTTAATTTATTAATAAAAATTAGTAATTGATATGATTGCTTTGCTACTTTTAGTAAAGTTTAAAAAAAAATTTGTTTACTATTTGACAATGTTATTTAATAGAACGTGTAAAGCCCATAGAAATTATTGCCTTTTTAGAATAATAATGCCCTTTTTTTAAACTTTTGCACCCTGCCCTTTTTTCTGCCTAGAATGGGCTCTGTATTATTATTATTATTTTTTTTTGTGTGTGTGTGGATCTGCTGTGGTCGCTAAGGGCAAAAAAAGTCAAACTAACACATTTGAGAGAAACTACATTTGAAACATACATAAAGATTTACTATACATTTGAGGGAAATTATAAAATTAGTTCAATTTATTATCACTCACAAATGTCACGAATATATATGAAATAGCAAAAAGTTTATTGATTTAAAAAATCTGCTCAAAAAAATTTCTATAACATTAAAAAATAAAGGAATGGAAATGAAATGTATTATTTATTTAATTTTGTTAAATAATTTTTTTTTTTTGTAAGATTGTCATGAAAGTTAATAAAGATGTTAGAAAGGTTAAGGTAAACACATGTTTAAATTAAGAAATCATATGAAATTCGAGGTATTCTAGTTCTTTTGAAATTATGAAATTCTATGTTATAAAAAATAAATTCTCGATTTCAGTAATGTTTAGAAATTAACGGTAGAGATAGGAAAACAAAATAGAAGTTTCAAAAATAGAGGAAAGAACCATCTGTATTGAACAAACAGAAAAAAAATTTTCTTCTTAAAGTTTGATTTAATATTATTAAACTATTACCAAATACAACCCTGTGAAAGTGTCAACTTTTTATATGTATCCTGGCTAAAAGTTTTGGCTTATTTGATGCGCTGTAGTTCAAAAGAAGAATCACTGTCCCTGGTATTACAATTTTCTCGCAATATTTATACATTTTTAATTCAAATGCACAGTTAGACTTTTAAAAAAACTAAATGCAATATTAATTTTTTCATGCATCATTTTTACTGAAAGATTAGTTTCTGCTATTTAATATGAAAGTAAACCTTTTCTAATGATTTTTTGTAATTTGAAGTCCTTCAACCTTAGAGTAAAAGTTTTCTTTTCATGTTATTCAAATTTTAGAATAATAGTTCAACATAAATATTAATAGTATATTACTTTTTATTTTATGCATTAAAATCGGTGATTAAGTAAAACTAAATTTTTCTAACACTTAGTAAACTCTTTTTGTTATTTTTTAAAAATTTAAATATAATTTTGTTTAGTATATGGTGGAAATGATAACCTATCTAAACTAAATTTTATATGAATTTATTATAATTAAAATTTAATATTTCAATATTGCTACAGAAAATTATGTGCAATTACTAAAGGAAAATATTATTGCAGGTTGACATCCTTAGTTTTATAAAGTATATTTTTGTAGTAACAATTTGATATATCTTTATTTGATATAAAGTGAAGTTATTTGATTGTTGGCAACTAATTACTGCTCAACAATCTTTTGAGATTTTATATCAACTTAAGAACCCATACTGCTTCTTTTTGCATTCATTTTAAGAAACTATCTTTTCTGTTATTTTCAAACTTATTTTTTCCCCATTGGATACAAATATGATCGTCAAACAAAACAAAAAATATAGTATAAAATTTTTTGTGAAAACATGTTTCTTTTAAGACTCTGGTGTATATTTTAGCCAAGGTACATAAATAATTGTACGTAAATAAGAGTACTGTATTACAAGAAACATTCTAAGAACCGAAGTTCTTCTTGAGCTACTACAAAGCATTTGACATCTTTTGCTTTAAATGTGTTAAATCATTTTTACTGAGGGCTAATATAACCAACTTTTCCTTATCTTAAGTTGAAAACCACAAATTGAAAACAAAATTAGAAATTATAATTTATTTTACTCCATACTGAGATAAAAACAATTTTTTTCCCTTTGTAATTAGGCATGGACAGGTTCACCGGGATACTGAGACTCAACTAGGTGTGCCCTCCCTGTAAGTTCTATCACTTCGAGCTTTCTTTAACTCTATTATTTTGATCTTTTACTGAAGAATTACAAAATATCTGTTCTTTGATCAAGGATGATTTTAATCCTTTTGGCAACATTTGAAATTATGTAAGATGCAAGAAGGGGGCTTTTTATCTTGCTCATGCTGTGTATGAGAGAAACAAAAAAAAATAATAAACTAAAAAGAAAGAAAGAAATGAAAAAAACTTAAAAAATTATAAATAAAGATAATACAGTAGGGAACCGATTACCCGGAACGATCAAAACCATCGCATTGCTATTCCGGATAACTGATTTTTCCGGTTTTCTGAATCGCTACAAAAAGCTGTTTGTTTATTGTTAAACCCAACAAAGAAAAAAGTTTTTTTGGAAATAATCTTAAAAAGAAGAAAAAACGATGGAGTAATACACTAATGATTATTTCCAAAATGATGGTAAGGTAAACATCTTTCAAAAAAGAAAAAAAAAATCCTAAAATCTTATGAGGAAAAAAATTTTTTTTTTTTAAAAGTGGTGCGAAAATTTTTCGAATTTCGTTCTGGTTTTTTGGTTTTCCGGTTTTCTGATTTCCGGATAACGGGTTCTGTACTGTATTTATGGGAATCTGAATCTTATATAACATGTTTTAAATTTTGTTTTGTAGCTTTTTTCCTATTTGAAATTTTTATCACTTCCTTGAAAATATAGAACATATATTTTGAATTATAATGTTCTTAATTATAAGTTTTTTATGTTTTGTGGAATTTGAAATAAATTTTATTTGTATCAGATGTAATTTTTTTTTTGTTTTCTTTCAATTTGTGCTTATTTTGTTGTTAAATGAAAACATTTTTCGTTTTATTATTTTCAATGAATTTTAATAATTTTTTTTAAAAGAATTCAGTAAACTTTTGCTTCTTTTCTTGTTAATAATGATTATTCCCCTTCCTTAATTTTCATAAAACAATCAAACTTTATTTCTGTTATCTGAAAAGTAATTTACATTTATTTCTTTATTTCAATGCAGTAATGTCTTACACTTCTAAATTAAAGCTTCTTATACCCATTCATCTAATAATACTGAATGGCATGGCACTATTATAAGTAGTCATTAAATACATTTTAAACTATATAAGGTAAATGTCTGTATTTTTTTAATAAAAGTAAGATTGACTTTTCTCCTTTTCTGCAAGTAACCTCTCTCAAAAGTTTAATTGAACAAATTGGCATTGAATTTCGAATATTATATGTTTGGTAAATGTATGTTATATAATTGAAAATAAGTGATGAGTTGGTTCTTATGTCATTTTGAAAGATCAGAATTTTATAAACCCTGTACAACAGAAAAATTATTCTGCAACAACTCTTACTTTAAGAATCTGCTATGTCAAAATCCTTCTTTGCAGCTATTTTCAGTTATCTTGACAGTTAATAGCTGTGTTCTTAATTGACTTAGATGGCTCACGAAAGTTAATATGAAATATCATTGTATTCCCAAGATAGATTCATGTTTCAAAATTGTTAACTATTTTGAAAATCAGTGATCGAAGCTTACGAAAGTCAAATTATTGATTTTAATGCAAAACTTGCAGCAAAAGTCAAACTAACTATTTTAATATACATTTCTAATAACAGCAGTTTTAAAAATATTTGTATATAAGAAATTAGTTATGTGAATGTATGTTTAATGGTGTCTTGGGATATTCATCCACTTTTCGATGCACCTGGATAATCTTTTTTAAAAAAAATTTCCGCACATGCGCTGTATAGAGCAACTACTTCAATTACTCTTATCTGGCGCAGTTTTTATTATTATTTTTTTAATTTTAAAGCAATAATTTTGTTATCAGTTTAAAATTGATTCAAATGCTTTGTTTAATTTTTTTTAAATATTTAAGCAATAGCAAAGTGGCACTAGACCTAGTATATATTTCGGACATTTACCAAAGGTCTAGTCATACTAGGTGTGGTTAAGTGCCATTGCCCGGTATATCCTACACTGATGTTTTTCTAAGATCAAGTGCCATTGCTCGGTATACCCTACACTGATGTTTTTTTAAGATTCTGTGCCACTGCCCGGTATACATTTGCCCGGTATACCCTACACTGATGTTTTTTTAAGGTCAAGTTCCACTACCCGGTTTAAATTGCCCGGTATACCATACACTGATGTTTTTTTAAAGGTCAAGTGCCACTGCCCGGTATATCCTACACCGATGTTTTTTTAAAGTCAAGTGCCATTGCCCGGTATATATTTGCCCAATACTCCAAACACTGATGTTCGTTCTAATCTATCGTCAGTAAGAATTAAAATATCGAATAAATGTAATTATATCCACGAATAAATTAATATCAAATGGGATGTAATAAATATTTCGGTCATTCACCAAAGCAATTAATTTGATTGTCAACATTCATCGGTGAATGTCAATAACCGCCGATTTCGGTCATTCACAGTAACATGCACATCATTTACATAATAACCTCATCAGGACGATTATTTCATACTTTGCCTAAATAGCATCCGGCATTTCAAAAAATAAATTTAATTGGTTTTGTTGGCAATGATCTCGTAAGGCGATAAAGAATCATGCATAGCACAGGTAAGGAGGATGTTAACCTTGAAGGAAAAGTGGATGAATACCCCAAGGAGCCATGTATTATAGCATAGCAGAAGGCAAAATTCACCTCAATATGATTTCTTTTTTCTACCAAGAACTAAGTGTGTATTTTTTTTAAACTTATAGTCTGTACAAGTTTGAAATATAAAATTTTCCTGTGAAATTGGAAAAGGAAAATGTTATTCTTTTAGAAATACAATGCAGGCACATACTGACTTTAGTGGATAGCTGATTCTTTCTTAAAAGTGTAGATTTTGCTTAATTTGATTTTTCATTTGAATAAGTGCATTTTCATTTTAGGTTATTGGGACCAAATACTGCTCAGGATTTACTGCAGCTAACATCAAATTTTAATTCACAACCATCGTCTAACACTCAGTCTAGAGTTGTTTTTGCTAATAGTGACTTTCGAATACTCGCTACGGAAGATGAAGTTTTTGAAATCCAAGTAAGTTCTTGTTAAAATCTGTAGAATATCTGTCAAAAAGTTTTCTAAATATGCAGTTAAATTAAAAATTACTTTTTTTAATTAAATGAATACTCTCAGGTCAGCCTTACTATTATAAAAGAAAAAAAGGAGTGTACCTAAAAACCAGTGATTTTAAACCAATGATTTTTAGTAACTACTAAATGATTAATTAAAGATAAATCCTTTAAAACAGGAATCTTTTATAGTTATTAAAAATCATTAAAAACTTTTCCATTCAAAACAATGAAAAAAGTTTGCATTTAAAGAAATTTAACAAAATTTATTGTATAGAAATTAATTTTTTGCAACTTCAAAGTTTTGTTCAATAATAAACTTCTATTATAGGACCAAAGTAGTACTGTATCTGGTGACCATTCTGGTACTCTTTCTGCGATCCCTTCGACACTGAATCGCTGGGCTGAAGAATCCAGAGTTCTTGATGGGGATAGTATTCATGATTGTATAGCAGGTCTGTTTATTTTATTAAACCTTAATTACACAATCCCTTGTGGATCTGCAATTTCCCCCTTTTTAGGTTTATTTTTTGAGCCTGTTTTTTTTTTAAAATAAAATTTTTATGTTAGTTTTTAATTTACTTTCAAGGATGAAAATTTGAATTTCTTTATTCCTCTCTGTTAGAATTGCAAGAAAGACTTATCTTAAAATACCATGGAATCATTCCTAATGGAGTTCATCAAAAAGTGATTATTTAGATGTGTTTTTCAACATTTGAGGGACGTAATAATATTGCAGTGAAACATTAGAATTTTAAAAAGAAGCAATAAGTGCTGAAATAACAATCTACAAATTTACATTAATTCAAGAAGAAATCGTCACTAATAGAGTGCGCCAGAAAAGGCTTATTCAAACGTACAGTATGTAATAACAGTTTAAAAAAATAAAATTAAAAATAGTGTTGTCACATTAGGAAAAGTTTTTTTCCAAATGAATCACCTACTTGTAATTTAAAAATAAAATTAAAATATTAATAATTTAACAGACTTTATTTTAATGAAATAGAAAAGCAATTAATACTTTAAATAAATGTGAAATTTAACAATGAAGAATATAATTTATAAGCGTATATTAAATATTTACAGGGTTCCCGCGGTCTTGAAAAAACCTTGAAAAGTGCTTGAATTTCATTTTGATTTTCAAGGGCCCCTAGAAGTACTTGAAAATGATATTAAATCCTTGAAAAATTCGAAATGACCTTGAAAATTATCGAAAACTCAGGGAAACAGCCCTATTTCCAGTATTTCTATGTTTAACTTTTTGACGCGCTTAAGTGTGAGAGAATGACTTCCCCGTCTTTCAGATGATGACACGTACTGTTTGATTTTAGGATTTTATGTATGTTTGGTTGATTTTAGGAATTTTAAATATTGGGAACTACGCCAGTCGATTTTAATATCGATCTTCGTATTAAACTTATTTAAAAATTATGTGTTGCAGGGATTAAAGACTTCCGCGAAAAAGCGGAAATTCGCTT